TTTTTATATACTCACCATCATATCGCTCGTACATTCCCCCTCTGCCCTCTGCCCTCTGCCCCCTCCCACTCGCCACTCTTTTCGCAGAAAAAACTAAAGCATGACAATTTTTTTGTTTTTTTGCATTTCCATTTGGTTGTATTTTTTGTAGTTTAATTGTTTTTTAGTTTTTATATTTTTATGATTTATTATTTCAAATTTATTTACTTCCCTCAAAATGACGAGCGTCCAAAGATCAGCCGCCCATATACGCCGACTTTTACGCCCATAGCATACAATTTTTCGGTTTTTATTTTCAATAATTTCTTGCTTGATAGGCGAACTAATTTTGTTTAATTTTTTACTTACTTACAAATATTATGCTATAACAAAGACTACTTACATACATAAACTTAAGCATACATACATAAAAATAAAAATAAAAACGAAGGTTACATTTGTTAACTAAACAAACTATACATAGATTTAATGGATAACTTACAGTGGTACATTATGAAAATTCATATAATTAAAACAAACTAGATTAAAAAAAGAAAACAGTTGGCGATAGAAAAACTCAACTATGAATTAAAATAACGCTATATTTGTTGCACAAAGAAGAGGTTCTACGTTAAAAATAAGGCAAAAATGTGGTTTCGCTTTTCTTTATTTACTTTCGTTATATGTGTGTCCCCCCTTTCGGCTTAAACTAGTTAAATGGTCGCTAAAAAAAAACTAATTTCAACCCCAAATAGGTAAAAAAAAGCCAACTTGTGTATTGCTTGCGTCTGTATTGGTTTATGGCAGAGCAATAAAGCGAAAAATAATTTCCAGAAATTAAATTTTTTCTAATTTTGTTCTAGCGAAATTTCCCAACGGAAAATACATATCAAATAGATTTTTAGTTTGGGTTCATTGAATTATTAAAAAAAAAATGCAAATTTTTTAGAGTAGTTTAATTTTTATTTTTTAAATAGTTGAAGTGCTTGGTTGTTTTTTTCTCTTTTTGGATTTACTACAATCATACATACATAGCTTACTTAATAAAACTATTTTTTTATTTAATTTAAAGTTAAATTTAAAGTTATAAATTTTTATATCACAATAGAAAAGAATGCATGTTCTCTTTTTTTGCTTCTTGAATTATGGATGTATGTATGTATGTATGTATGTGTTTGTATTTACTTAAGCATTTGCTTATGTCTTATTTCTTTAGGTATGTATGTGTGTTGGTTGGTTTAGTTAAACATACATTGTTTTTGTTTTGAGTGTGTGTGTTTTTTTGGAATTCATTCTTAAACTAAATTAAACAGAACTTTACACAAACATTGGTAATCTGCACTACATTTTCGACTAAAGTTATTTGTTAAACGTTTCCATGACTTGTTTAGTTTTCTTCTATTCACTGCAGTGTGAATTACATTTATGTATGTATGTATGTACATATACATAGTATGTACATATGTATGTAGGTATGTAAATTTTTGTTTTTTTTTTTTGTTTTATATGCAGCACCTGCTACTACAAAATGTATTTCGTAGTTTTTGTTGACAAGCTTTTATTTTATTTAAGTAGGTCTTTTGTGCTTTTTTCGTCTGTTTTGAATTTTTTTTAGTTATTCTTTAAGCTGTCTGTGGTCGTAAAAAGTTGGCTGATTTTTATGTGCTTATAAAATTTTTTTTTAACATCAATGATCTGGTGTTCCAAGTAACAGTACCTCACACGCGGCTGGAGCTTTTTTAAGCTTTCTTTACTGCAGTTAGGACAGTGATGCACAAAACAGCGCCCACGGGCGAAACTCCTCAAAGCTATCTGTAGATTTTATATTAGCGATAGGTAAAGAGAGCCTTTACTCTGCACGCGCTTACACAAATATACAGAAAGCTTGAAAGAGCTTTGTCCGCGGGCAAGACGTGCACAGAGTAAAAGCTCCCTCTGGGCATCACTCATTTAGTATGAACTAAGCGGAATAAAAATCCTTTCCATCCTTAATTGATCTAAAGCTGATTTCCATGTGAGAGAGGTTTTACCTTGTGTACGTCTAAAAAAAAAGTCTACAGAAAGCTTTAGAAAGCTTCCACCACGAGATATGTTTTAGTCGTCGCTGATTTAAACAAAAATTTCAAAAGTATATGCCAAAATATATAGAAAGCTTTAAAAAGCTTTGCTCGCGTTCTTTGCCTTGCACGCGTAGATAGATTTTTTTGAGATTTCTACACATTTTGTATAAACGCGATCAGAGTAAAAGGCCTTACTAACTGTAAACAAGTACAAAATAGCAATGACGTTGTACCAACTTTCTTAAACACGGCATATCTCCAAGTGTAAAATTTTTTCTTTAAAAATTACTCACTTTGGCAGCCGGCGTATACTTATGAGCTTTCAGCGATACGCGTTAACATTTAATGGGTCTTGCTTTCGGATAATGAACACATTGCAGAATTTTCCTACCACGGTCCGTTTGGCCTTCATTAACGAAGCCGCAGGTATCATGGACATACTGCGTTGGGACTCTCTTTTGGACGAAACAATGTTATTGGCTGGTGGACGAACAAGGAATCGAACCTGTGCCCAAAGGATGTTAGTCGAAATTGTCAATTGCAGTTTGGAACTTCTCGCACATTCAATAAAATCAATCAACCGGTTCCTGCCAAAAAATTACTCTTCGCTCCTCGTCTCGACATATCTACTTTTATCTTTCTCTTCTCCTTCACTCCTCACTTCATTCTCCTTTCTCTCTATGTAAGCATCCTGTATCTACATTAATCGCTTTTTGGATTACAACTTCGTAGGTGTTTGTGGGGTAAGCATACAATTTTTGCTACACAGTGTAATTCATGCTTTACGAAATGTTCTTGCAGTGTAGTCGTCATACATATTATGTAGTATGTATGTACATATTATGTGTATGTACATAAGTAGTTCGTTTTGCGCTCGAAAATACATTGTTTTGGTATTAAGTACAATGAGTTCATACATTTATTTAGTATATAGGTATGGCATTGTAAGTAGCATTTGTTGGCAACTTTTTTGCATGAAAAATTTAAGGTTTGGGTGCATAAAAAACGCTTTACTATGCACTTTGAAAACTGAAGGAAATTAGATGCGGCTTAGCGTACTTTTTTTAGCCATAAAATAAGAATAAATAAAGTTAATTTTTTCCAGTTTTTTTGTGTTTTTTCTTTGTTTTGTACAACCAAATACATATATTAAATTACCATAAAAAGCTAGACAGCAAGCGAATTGTCTCACAAGTGAAAACGAAAATAAAAAAAGCAAAATTTTAAATAAACAAGGCACAAAACTCAACCACGACCAACATTTTCGAATGCTTTAATTTCAGTACTTATTTGTTGTTTCATTTCAAAAAATTTTGTGTTCTTACTGGTTTTTTGCATGCATTTTATTTTCATGCTTGGTTTGTATGTTTATACATACATATGTATGTTCACAGGCAGTCACGCAAAACCACCATAAATTAAAACAAAAAAAAAAATAGATAGAATTTTATAAATTAAAAAAAAAAAATAATTTTTGTTACATAGTTCATAATGTAATAAAAAACTAAAATCAAAGTTTAAAATTACAAAATTCAAAAAAAAACCTATAAAATTTTCATTAAAAATAAATAAAAAATAATATAATTTTATGTACAATAAAAACTATATAAATAAAAGTTTCAATTTCTGTACAAAATTTAGAAAAATTTATCAAAACAGCAAGTTCGAAGTAGCATAAAATTCTGGTAACTTTTTAACAATAAAAACATACTTTATATGAAAAAACTGCGCCAGACCGTCAAACCAAACAAAAAAAAAAAAAACAATTTAAAAAACAACGAGAATTTCGGGCCACTTCAAATTTGCACATTATTATACTGAAATTTTTTAAGCCAGTATGCCCGAAATTTTCCTAAACATTTTCTTGAAAAAGTTAGAAAATTTTGTGAATTTTTCTAAATGTCGTAGAAAGTTTGAAGCCTTTATTCTTAAAAATTGTGTTATAGTAGTTCGAACTATATTGAAATAAAAATTATTCAAGTGCGAAATTCTACTTTATAAAAAATATTAGTGGTAAGTTATGCGTGACCGTCAGTGTACAAATGCATGTACTGGATACGTAAGTATGGCTTGCTGTTTTATTTTGTTACACAGTGTACATGATACAATCGTGGCAAAGCGCGCACTACTTAGGCGCGTCAGCTTTTTTTTTAGTTTTGTTACCAGGCTGGTTTAATTTTTTCTGCTAACAAGTATGTATGTGCATATGTATGTATTTTTTATGCTTTGTTATGTTCTTTTTTTGTTATTATGGGAGTGTTGTTATTTGCTATTTTTACTTGTCTTGTTTTTGTTTTTTTTTTTTTTTGTTTTTTTGGTTAGATACTATGGATATTTTGTTTTTGTTGTATGTACTTGCGAATGCTTTGCAGGAGTGCGCATGTTTGTTTTTGTTTAAATTCATTAAATTATTTTTTTTTTGTGTTTTATTTTTTTCTTTTAAATCACACAGTCAAAAGTGAGGGTCGCGCGTGCATTTACTACAACTATTGTTCTTATTGTTATTATTGTTGTTGGTGTTGCTGTCGCTGCCTTCTCTGTGGTGGTTGTTGTTACTGCTTGTGTTGCTGTTGTTATTGCTGTTGTGCCTTAAACTTCGCCGCGGCTTGATTTCTAGTCGGAAAAAATGAGCTCAACCTCAAAGCCACCCTCCGTGTCCCCCCCCCACCCACCTGTATGCGTAGTATGTAGAGTGTGTGTGTGTGCCTTGCCCGTTGGCTGGCTGCGTTTGACTCTTGGACTACTTACTGCACTTAGCGTTGAGTGGTGGTTGTTGTTGTTGCCGTAGATTTTTGTTTTAATTTTTTACTATTGTGTTGTTTTTGCTGTAGTTGTTGTAGTTTATAGTTGGCTGGCTCAGTGCTGCTTGCATTGTTGTGGACTGGCAGCCTATTGGAGGTTGTTGTTGTAGCTAGTAAACCTTATTTCTGACGCTGGGGTGCTGGAATTTTTAGTTTGTTCTTTGTTCTGCGCTCAGTTATTCCCTGTTTGGTTTCGCTTTGTCGCGTTATTGTTGCTGTTGCGACTGATGTTGGCTGCAGTTTGAACAGCTGTTGGTGACTTTGCTTTACCAAGACCCGCGAGATCAACCAATAACAATTGCTTGTTGTTATTGCTATAGTTATATTATTGCTGCCATGTTCAGCTTCTGGTTTTCTGTGTTTTTTTTTCAACGGCCCGGCCGGCAATGCTGCTTCTTCTCGCTTCCACAGCCATGCTTCTTCTTCTTCTTCTCCTTTTTCTGTCATCCTATTCGCTTCATTTCAGTAATCAAAATAATTATAAACTCTGTATTTTATGCCGGCAAAAAGCAAAATTTGCAACTCTTCATTTTCACCTCAAAACCAAGGCTCGCCGCTTCTATTGCTGCCACAATGTTTACCGTCTGCACGCAGCTCAAATATACATACATACTATGTACATACTTTATGTGCATACCCATATGCATATTTGTATATACATATATATATATATATATATATGTATATATGGACACACAAGGCGGTCAGACGCCATTGCAAAACCAAGCCATCCATGCGCCAGCCAAGTCAAGTCTCCCGTTCCTGGCCTCATCACCGTTGCAGCGGTGCACCAGCTAACCAGGCAGCCAGTGAGTCAGTCAGGCAGCCAGCCAGCCAGCCAGCCAGCGATTCAGGCTGTTCGTAAACAACCAGCAAAGCAGGCAGACTCAGCCATGCATGCGCGCTTTAGCGGTAGTCATCATGATTCCAGAGCAGCAACATATTCACATATTCGTACATAACTACTACATGCCTACAAACATATGTACCATGGATATAGAAAAAGGCAAACTCTTTTGTGCAAATGTGGCCATGTGTGCCTCTGTGTGTCTTGTTTGTCTGTCTGCCTCTCTGCATGAAAGGCAGCTTGGCTGTGCGCGGCTGCCTTGCTGGTGTGTTGTCCGTCCCAATACCAGTGGACTGGACTGACTATCTGTACGTTTGACGGCACTGCATTGCGTGTCTGACGTGGTTGTGCACAAGTTAATTGTTGTTGTTTTTGTTGTTGTTGCCTTCTCGGCTGTAGCTGTTCTCGTTGCCACTGCCTTGTTTTGCTTGTTTTTTTTTTATATTTCTTTTAACTTTTATTTTTTTTTTACTTTTATTCGATTCTTATTTTTATTTTTTTAGCTATTCGCCTTTTTTATTGGATTCTTCATTGCTGTTTTAAATTTAGTACACGGCGTGTTTATGGGAAACGAAAGTCATGCATGCGTTGCGGCTACCTCTATTGCTGCTGCTGTCGTCGTTGTTCTTGTTCTTGTTGTTGCTGCTGCCACAAGCCACTCTTGTATCCGTCTGTGCGTTGGCTTTGCTTTTGCTGTTTTCTCCTTTTTAGTATTTTCAACATGTTTCCTGCNCCCCCCCCCCCCCCAGCTTATTTTAGGAATTTTATTCTCTCTACCATTTTTATGCATGCACCCTTTTCCAAAAAGTTTCATTTTACGCCTTTGCACTCCTGCCCATTCCCATCCGCCGTGTCTGGCCGTGTTTGGGTCTTCCTAGCATCGAAGTTTGTCTGCCTGTGTTTGCGTACTTTTGCATGCGCGTACTCGTGCGTTTGCTCCCTTCTGTATGTGTGCAGTTGTATAGTAATTATAGCGCCCGATTCAGGGTCTCAGCCGCTCGGTCGTGCGTTCGCAGACCCATTGTTTGCGCAGGCTTGACTCCTCCTATAGCTGCGCTGCTAGCAGCTGCGCATCAGCATCCATGTCTCGCCACTGTAATCCAAAGTCGAATGCTTTCTTGAGTTCATTAGCATAATTTTTGGTTATTACTTGGCCATCATCGAATGTCTGTAATGCAGTTGAGTTCAATTTCGTAAATAACTTCACATCGCTAGCACACATCATACTCGTAAGCTTTAGATTCTTCTTTTGCCGCTTCAATTTTGCCTTCCCCTCAATTACTCGTCTTTTGTTACGCCCATGAATCCGTTTAACCAATTTTTTAATCCATCCAATCAATTTTGAAGTAGACTCTAGTCGCCTTTGTTGCGCAAAACCATACTTTGCGCATACATTGTAGTTGTTGTTGTTGCCGCGTTGAACGCATCATCTTACGAGCCACAGTCCAAGATTTAGTTTTAACAACTTCGGTAACTTCATAATCACATCGATGCCCTTCGAGGATAATTGCGTGCAACCATACAAATCGATCGTTTTCAAATTCACCAAATCTTGTGCCAATGTCTCTAGCCCCTTGTCAGTTATGCGGCTGCATTGTCCAATATTGAGATTTTCGAGTTCTTGCAGTGATTTGGCGATCTTCAACATACCCTGATCGGTTATTTGGCACTGATTCAGGCTGAGCGAACGCAGGCGATACAGACCCTGTGCGATATGTGTGAGCGCCTGATCGCTGATCTTGTCGCAGAAACTGACATCGAGTGAGGTGATGCCGCTGCCGCCTTCGGTGAGATATGCCATGCCGATGTCGGAGATGTTGTCGCAGGAACGTAGATTGAGTTGTTCGAGTTTGGGCATACGCGCCAAGTGCTTGAGGCCGCTGTCGGTGACAGAGACACAGAAGCTCAGGTTGATGGACTTTAGTGACGTTAAACCTTGTGCTATATGACCGAGCGCTTCGTCGCTGAGCCGCTGACAGTCCTGCAGACCCAGATACTCCAGCTCCAGATTACCTTCGGCTGTCTCTTTGCTCAGACCGGCCAGATGGCCGATACCCTGATCGCTGATGTGCCAACAGGAACGTAAATTTAAGTGCTTCAATTTCTTCAGACCCCACGCGATGAGCAGTAGACCAGTGTTGGTAATGTTGCAACAGCCGCCGAGTTCAAGTGTCTCCAAATTTTTCAGATGCTGTGCAATGCGTCCCAGACTCGTGTCGGTGATTTGTTTGCACAACGACAAATCGAGTACTTTGAGATTTGGCAGATCTACGGAGAAGGCGTGACCCAAATTAACATCGGCAACATTAAAGCAACCGCTCAAATTGAGCGAGACTAGTGATGGCACGCCGAGCACGAGATCCTTTAGCGAACGACGCAGCGAGAGTATCTGCACCTTCTTGATACCACGGCGCACCAGCGAATTGAAGAGACTAGGACTGGAGCGCTTCAGATGCAACTTGGCTTCGACACCTTTCCACACGCTCTTGGCATAGCCGGCGTCGCGCCAAGCGGTACACACCTGCGCCGCGCGTCCCAAATCGCGCACGGTCAACTTTTGGAAGATCATCTCGAGTATTTCGGGAAAGAGATTGCTAATGTGTGTACCCTCAATAGGTGGCGGACTCTCCGGCGACGCAGGTCGATGCTGGTGGTGGTGGTGATGATGATGATGGTGTTGCGCATGTGCGGCCGCAGCGGCAGCAGCTGCCGCGGCATGCTGGAGGTACAACGCGGGTGGTAGTGTCTGCAGTTGGGGGCGATGATGCAATGCATAGGGTGTGAAGCGCAGCAGATGGTGTGCGCGCTGTGTGAGGGCGGGCAATTCAGTCTGTTGGTAGAGGCAATCTTCCATATTCCAAGCGGCAGCAGCCAACTGTGTAGCGGTTGGAAGTACAGAGCCAGCAGCTGGACCGCCGTTATGATTACTACCGCTGCCGCCACCGCCTCCCGTGCCGCCGCCACCACCACCGCCATGGTAGTTAGTTAGCGCAGCGGCAGTTTGTAGAGAAATTGTCGTATGATGGTGAAAGGGTAAAATTTCTGTATTTGTGGCCATGTCGTCAAGCGCTGCTCGAAGTGCCGCGTTCAGACAAAGTGTAATGTAGATGGAGGGGAAGTAACAGATGAATGCGCTGGACGTGAGGCCTACTGCGGCACGCTTTGTGATATTTGCTGTACGGCTACAATTGGCTTTGAAGGTCAACTTAATCCAATTGAATACTTTGGAACTTAAGTAGCGCACAGTGGCGGAGATAGCGCGATTTGTAAGACGCTGTATCAAATGCGACGCATTTTCTGTATTTTTTTTTTTTTTTTTTTAGAAACGCAGTTGGACGCCGCGACGCGATACGCTACGAACGCGATGTCAGTTAATTCGATTCGACTTGCGCAAGGGGGCGCAATTTACACAAAGTGACGTCGGCTGTCGTTGTTGTTCTTCTTGCTCATGTATTTAGTTGATTTAGAGCCACACTTGGCGCGACTCGACGCGATGCGATGCGACGCGCTTAAATGCGATTTGATACGACACGAGAAAACGTAACAAAACAGCGCGCGCGTTTGGCTGGCTGATTGGCTTATCTTTTGCCGTTTATCGGCGCTTCTACACTTCCCAGTTTATTTATTTTATAACTGTTGCTTATGCTGTTACTTTTGTTCTTACTTATGTGATTTCGACTGATTACTCGACAAGGTATCGCAATACTAAAGCACAGCAGTTCAAAATTGTAGCATTGAAAAATACTTTTTGGCTTATTTGCAATTTTTTAGCTTTGATTATTTTGTTGTTTATTACGCGACGCGACTAGTGCATAATTGATTAGAGAATTCGCATATTTTCATTCAAATAACTGCTTATCAAATTTGAAATAGTAACAGTAAAGTACAGCGGTGTTTATCAACTTTTGAGTTACACTTTCCAGTTTGCCGACAACGCTTTTTTTTGCTTTCAACCGCACCGGGTGGTAATGTTTCACAGACTAAACTCGCCGACTCTATGCGTTTTAGTTTATAACTGAAAGACCTTTGGTATTAGCGTTGAACTCACCTATACATGTACATAGCATGTACACCGACGCGCATGTAAACACGGTCACTCGGCGCTCTTCTGAGTACATTCGCGCTATTCAGCCATTGAGGTGAATTCAAGAAACTCACGCCGAAAGAGCGCTTCACAAACATTTTCTTTCTGGGTTGGTGTGTGTGTGCGTGCCTGAGAATAATGGCTGAATTTCCTCACCAACCCATTCAAATGTATCCTGTATGTGTATATGTTTAGCTGCTCTCAGATAAACAGCAGTCAAGTATTGTATGTCTGTGGATTGCTTTGCCTTTGGCATTGCCTTCGCCTTTGAATTTCGCACTCTGCCCAAATTACCTACTGGGTACTTTTTCTAAGCGCTGCTGCTGAACGCTTGCCTATATCGCCGCGTTTGCCCCTTAAAAGAAAACCAGATAAGAAATTCGAAACTCTATTCTCTGTTATTTTTCCTGAAATACTGCGCCTTTAGAATATGTATAAGTATGAATGTACGTATGTACGTTTGGATGTGCATATGTGTGTATGTATGTTTGTAAATAAATTGACTATGCATGTTCGTTTGCTTATGTGCGTAGATATATCATATATGTACATACAAACTGCTGTAGTTCCATGGAGTCTTGATTATTCAATATCTACGCCATCGCTCGATCTACGCTAACATTGAGAGTCGAAGTAAAAGTGTAGCGGGGGGTCTAATATTGCAACCAAGGGGAGACATACATGTACATATATGTACATATGTGTATGTATGATTAAACGTAAAAATGGTTAAGTCGAAAATTTCTAAAGTCTTACAGAAAAAAGTCCCGTTTTTTTGTGAGTGTCTTTAAAATTGTTTCTTAGCTACAAAAAAGTTGGCAACCCCTGAAATTAAAAACTAGACGCACATAAGTGTACGGTATGTAATTTAAAACGTGGAAACAATTTCTCTGTAGTTCAAAAAGTGGCAAATATATTTGCTAATTTACAGACTAGACATTAGGGTGGGGTCAGATATTTTGTTTTTTACCATGTGCTTATGTCGTATGAGGATTCTACGTGTAATGAGTCTAAAAACAATTTGGAGTTAGCCAAATTGCGAAAATAAGTTTCGAGGAAAATGTGAAAATTTTCACTGTTGCGCCCTCTGGTGGAAGTTTTAAGAAAAAGATAAGTTCAGAAATGTATTCCTCATACCAAAAAACTCCTTATGCCTAATGGCATATTTTTATGCAAAATTTAAGCACTTCTTTACGACACTACAGCAAAATTATAAGAAACTTATTTTCGCAATTTGGCAAATTCCAAACGGATTTTAGGCCCATGGTTTCTGCAGCAAATTTGCTAAGGATTGCATATTCGAAAAAAATCTCTCATACATATTGACCCGCTCTACTAGACGTACATAAGCTTTTGGTAGCATAAAAACAGGTAAACATAAAAATTGGACATACATTTGTGGTCAATAAAAAAAAAAAATAACATAAATGTTTGGTTATTTTAAAACTTCACATACATAATTTTTTTATAATACAAAAACTGGACATACATTTTTTGCTACTGCAAACTGACATAAACTTGTTGTAACTATACTATAAATTTTCGAAAATTTCAAATCGGGACATAACTGTTTTGGTAATCTAAAAAGTGGCATCAATTTTTTTTGGCAAATTAAACCTCAACATACATTTTTAGATTTTGAGATTTAAAACTGGAATCATTTGTGGTCAACTAAAAACTGAACATACAGTTGTGGCCATTTAAAGTGTGAACATCAATTATTGGTGTACTCGCATACTGGACATACATATATGTATTTTTTGCGATTCATAACTAGACATACATTTTTAGTAACATAAAAACTGAGAAAACATTTCTCTCTGGTTTTTGTGGTCATTTAAAAACTACACATAAATTTTCAATACATTTTTTTTTACCTAAAACTGGACATAAATGTTTGAAAATTTCATTTCGACTGGACAATACAACTGAGCAAATCTGATATGGTGGAACAAAAATTTTAAGAATTATTGGATTCACTGGAAATATGTTATTGGGGGATTTTTGGGGTGGTTAATTAGGAATTCCATCATTTTTTTTAATTCTATATATCCTTTAAATACTTGCAACTCAATAGTTGTGGTCTGCTATTCCATATTTTATATCCACTTTTCAAAGGTAGATATTTGATTTTATTAACCTTTTAAATTACCATAAATTCATAACCAATAACTGAATACAGAGAAAGAGGGCCCCCACTGCGATAGAAAGACCAAGTGGAGAAGGACTTGACTTCACTTGGCATTTCCATTTGGCGTCAGTTGGCACAGAATAGAAACGACTGCCGTGCTTCGTTGAACTCGGCCAGAATCGCAAAGGTGGGTTGCAGCATCAAATAAGAAGAAGAAGAATTGAATTACCAATTTGTCCTTAAATGATCAGAGTTTACCCAATTGTGACATTATCAAATTATTTTCAATTTCAATCATTCCTATAATCCACTCGGCGAGAGAGAAAGTGATAGAAGCCACTAAGGGGGTAGGCAAATCGCAAAGCCCCATAAGTCGTGTTAGTCAGGAACGATCGATCACTCGCCACAAATTCAAAGCACATAGTTGCATAGGGGACCAGTTATTTACATTATCGCTAGCATTAGGACGCCATTTGTGCGATATTGAAAACAGTACCTATTAAATGTAAATGAGGAAAGGTCTTCTAAAAAAAGGGCAGGCCAATGAACCCAGTAAAGACCGGCAGAGTCCCCTTCACAGCTATAAGGAGAGTAAATTTTGTACAAAACCAACAATGTTTGGAGGGGCATTTTCTGAGCTGTATAAGATAAAACCATTCCTCCATGATCTCATAATCAGACTTAAAGATTTCGAGGCGGTTGAATTTGGCATAATAATGTATCCAAGAGCTGTCTTAGCAATTCTGGAGCCGAGTATTCGCGGCTAGGTTAGTGGCATGCCCACCAACGGGCACATATCCTACAATAAATATTTCAGGCAGGAATCTGTTTAATTGATATCTGTGGCCACGAATATCTTCGTATGTATAATGCGCCCATAATAAATGGAATGTTGAATAGTAAGGAAGCTTTGAAAAGCCTACGCTCAAGCAAAACAGCATCCAGCTTTAGAGGCGTTATGGTGGGTGGTGTGTCATAAGGAATTAGATGGCACCAAAAGGACTAAGACTCTCAAAAAGGGTAATCACGTCGGTACCTCAGACTTGGCAAGTTCTTTGGAAATAAAATCCACTAGACCCCTCGAAATAGATCCTAGGGTATGTTTGCTTTCATTTTAAAACAAAACAGATTACTGCTGGACTTTAATACAATTTTTTTGGACTACCCCAGAGCTGTAATAAATTTAGTTCTTAGTTCTAAAATCATCTCCTATGTCTCCTCACAATGACTACATCTTCATCGACAGCCCAGTCAGCTATCAAGACAGCTATGGCCATGATGAAAAAACAACTTTATGTGCGACCTCAGGCTACCAGGCACCTTCAAGTATAAACTGCTAGACATTATTTCGGCTACGACTCGGCATTGCTTGAAAGAGTGAAATACGCATGGCATGTGACGCGGGTATATCAAGGGGCACACTAGAATATCTGGTAAATCACAACCAAAATTCAAAGTGGGAAAATTTCGATCAAAGAGCCAGAAAATTGTAAAAAGTGGAAAAAAATCAACCCGAGGCTTAAGCCTATGCCTGGATATTCAGGACCAATTAGTGGTCTTTGTGATACCTTATTGATCAATCAAGCACTTGCAAATAGGTTCTTGAAGGCCCTGCAAACATATCTTCATTATAACTGATTTAAAGTAAGATACGATGATCCCAATGCACAACGAGTATCAAGGATATCCTTATATTTATGGATGTAGTTGGAAACTCCTTACAGCTATAAATGTCTGCACGTAGACTGGGTGGTCCTTAAATATCAAGATTTAAATTGGTTCTACGTACAAAATAAAGGCATGCATGGAAATTTCAAAATTTGAAAAAAAAATTTAAGTTGCAAAAATTTGACAAAATTTTCACTTGTAAGTTACAGCTGCTTCAAGTAACAAATTTGTCGAGTTTTTGCAATTAAAAAATAATAATTTTTTCAAGCCCTGGTGCGAACGCCAAATTTTTTTTCTAATGGTGATATCGTTTCTTCCCAAAAATGTTGCCCTTCCCTAATGCAAAATGTGTTTGATGTTACACCCAACCCTGTAAAAAGGCATGTTTTTGCCTTCTTGTCCTTGTCTAGCTCACGGATTTCATAATATTGTCGTTTTAAACAAACATCTAATTTTCAGGGCAGAGAATGTGCCGTTTGCCTTTAATTTAGAATCGAACAATAAAAAGAAAGGGGCAATCAAAAGGCAAAATTTTTTGGTAGAAATCACCATAAATTTGGAAATTTCCCTAAATGTCTTTATTTTGTGGAAGAACAAAATTGGGAGGTACAAAATTCATATGTTAATATCTTTAAGGACCACCCTATTGTAGATACATTGGACTGTACACGAAAAAAATCGATGTACATCACTGAGAGTTATAACATTACTTTTTCCGTCATATGTTCGGCATTTACAGCGTCTGTCAGTGTTTTACGTGGGTACCTGCTGACAACGGCTTAAGCCCACACACATTTGAAATCGGATCTTAACGTATGATATATCTATCGCTGTTATTGTCTCGAATAAGTTCTAGTTTTACTCACCAGATCTCAGTTCCTACCACCCTAGCGTAGCACCTTAATGCCAGTAAAATGAAACTCGCCGAAAATCATTAAATTTTTGCTGATGAAGTACATATTTCGATTTGAAGACAATTTTGATTTTTTTTTGCCGAACCAAGCGGTCGCCCATTTTACGTTTTTCGTCATATCTTCGGCATTTACAGTCGGGAGTAGGTGCCACTGAAAAGTGTAGAAAGGTAACCCCTAGGTTCGGCAAATATTTTTTTTATTCGTAATTATCCTGCAAAATACTTTAGATTCATTCAGTGGTGTACGGCGAACTCTTTTTTGTTTCCTTGTAAGGTGGTACGGTCTAATGTAGTTATGCACATACATATATGTATGTAAGTATACCTAGCTACTAACTTAAATTTTTGAAACTTAACATATGAGAAACTGAAATTCCCCAGTTTTCAAACCCTCAGCAAGAAGCCCAACAAACAAGCAGCTCCATACATACATACATAGATACTATACCTGCTCAATATATTATCCGGTTTTATTGTATTTATAATGAAACACAAAAACTAAAATGAAAAAAAAAAGAAACAAATTTCTTACAGAAAATAATTTAATGCAAAGCCAGACAAAAGATGGACGGTCTTGCAAGCAAACGCTGCCCATGCGAAGGGGGGGAGCGCACAATTACACAGCAGGTACCTCAACGCACAGTTCAAGCTACAGAGCAGAGCTGACGTCAACATCATCGACGCGTCGATGCTGCAGTTCTCGGAGTGTGGCGGGGTAAACGACGATGAACGACACGCTGAAGCGTTCCAGA